AAGTAAGGAGCTGTTGCTGATGTAACGCTCGGTGTCAGCGGTGTAGGGCTGACAAGTCACTAGGTAGTATTACCTGGAGGCTGATAAGTAAGGAGCTGTTGCTGATGTAACGCTCGGTGTCAGCGGTGTAGCCTGACAAGTCACTAGGTAGTCTTACCTGGAGGCTGATAAGTAAGGAGCTGTTGCTGATGTAACGCTCGGTGTCAGCGGTGTAAGCCTGACAAGTCACTAGGTAGTCTTACCTGGAGGCTGATAAGTAAGGAGCTGTTGCTGATGTAACGCTCGGTGTCAGCGGTGTAGGGCTGACAAGTCACTAGATAGTCTTACCTGGAGGCTGATAAGTAAGGAGCTGTTGCTGATGTAACGCTCGGTGTCAGCGGTGTAGGGCTGACAAGTCACTAGGTAGTCTTACCTGGAGGCTGATAAGTAAGGAGCTGTTGCTGATGTAACGCTCGGTGTCAGCGGTGTAGGGCTGAGGCACTTCATCAACGCTGAGGGAGGTTGGGGCGGTGCAGATGAAGAGGGGAACACACCCCACGAAGCGGTGGGCTTGTATCACGATGCGGACGTCATTACTGGCGGTAAATGACGGTTAACTCTTCACAATGTTATGAATGTATCAGTATGTTCATGTAAATTATTAATATTATGCAAAACATAGTGATGTGCAATGTAAATATCAATATTAATATAATGTAAATTAATTAATTAATAATGTAAATTATTAATATTATGCAAAACATAGTGTCTTAAAATATCGTGCAATGTAAATTGAGAACTTATTTGCCTGCACCCAATCGACTCGAAACATTCATATAACCGAATACATATTTACATCAAATAAAATCAGTACAAAACCTAAGTAAAAATGTATTATAATTTAAAGTGAACGGCTTGAGCTACACGCCTCCCTTGCTCACTCACCACCCAGAATCTCACACCCGCTATTTCACATGGGGTCATTGTTGGCCTAGTGATATTCTTCTCCTATACATGTTTTTACGGTTCTAAAATTGACAAAATATAACTCAGTACTCACTGCAGTGAGTGACAGAGAACGCATTTTCTCGTCGACGAAAACTTGAGGTCACGGACAGACGGACGGACAGACGGACAGACAGACAGACAGACGGACGGACGGACATGGCGAGCACAATAGTGCATTTTTTCCATAAATGAGAAAATGCGCTCAAAATAACTAAAAATTATCCCTGAGAACTGAAATTCTTTATTTGTAGAAATTAAAGCACTCTAAGTTATTTTATTGAACGGTAAATCGAATTGCAATGGAAAGGTAAATATTGTTTACAAATAATTGAATAATACAGTTCTTTACAACGCTGCATTAGATATTGTATGCCCAGAACAAATGAACGAACATTAAAATGTGCAGTAATAGGATTAAATTTAACTTCGTTTAATCTTGGGCCGAATGAACAGAGATATCTCTTTCTTCTTCTCTTAGATGAAAATCAATACATTTCCTGAATAAATTACCTCAGACCATATTAATGCCATAAGTGGAAAAGAAAAAAGTTATCAAATTGGAACGTTGTTCCAATGATTTAGACATCATTTCAGGTAGTTTAGTGACATCATTTAGCATAAATTCGACCAGTGGTTTAGTGTGGGCAGAAACGTTCAGTTTGCAGCAAGTGGTGCAACGTTACTTTCTTGCAAATTCGACATTTCTATTCCATTCTATTCTTATCCTTTATTGGATTCTATTGGATTTTTCTTTATTGGATTCTATTGGATTTTTCTTTATTGGATTCTATTGGATTTTTCTTTTTTGGATTCTATAGGATTTTTCTTTTTTGGATTCTATTGGATTTTTCTTTATTGGATTCTATTGTATTTTTCTTTATTGGATTCTATTGGATTTTTTTTGGATTCTATTGGATTTTTCTTTATTGGATTCTATTGGATTTTTCTTTATTGGATTCTATTGGATTTTTCTTTATTGGATTCTATTGGATTTTTCTTTATTGGATTATATTCTTATCCTTTATTGGATTCTATTGGATTCTATTTTTATCCTCTATTGGATTCACGTGCCGCGAATGATTGGGAAATTAAACATGTGATGTGCACTGTTCTACATAGAAGCAATTCGCTCTAATTTATAATAACATTAGGTAAAGTGAAAATGTAAGAATGAATGATGACATGACAATGTTGGAAGATGTCATTACATTATTGGAAAATCAGGCAGTACAATTGACCAATTTAAATCCGAAATTAAAAATACTCATCCGGGCAATACTATTGACCAAATAACTTGTATAAAACTTTGTCTAAATGGGGTTTAGGTAAGTTAAAGTTTGAAGGATCAAATTTTTAATTTATATAAGGATTTTCTTTCGCGCGCAACAATGAAATAATAAGATAGGATTTCATCCACTCACTAGTACTGTATTCAACGTGAATTTTTTACATATGAGTTTTCCACCTTAGTTGTAATGCCATAATTACGTTATGTGTCGATCTTGAGAGCTTCGTCCTATTAATTGTATGTACCAATTTTGTAATATATTTCTTCTACGTATTCACCACGTAGTATATCCCGTTGCAAACCTTACATTTTTTGTCGTTGATGAAGCCATGTTAAACAACCTCCCGAAACTTCCGGGTTAACCGCTTAAGATAAATATTTATTGCTTTATCAGAAATACAAGTTATGTTCATGATCCTTTGATCGCGCGTAAGTTTACACTTTATATTAATTAAGTACACTTCCTTGATATTTTTGTCCATCATGGGCGTAGCAATATAGGCACTAACTCCGAGAGTTCAAAACCTGACTGGAATAAACACACTACATGTCTGGGGTGAATAATACTGATGCAGTTAGAGCACCCAACGCCTGCAACTGCATTTTACTGTAAGAAATATTTTACTTGTAATTTACTTTATTTCACTTATTTAATTTACCTGTTTACTTTATTTTATCTTACTTGTAATTTAGAATCGGGATGAGAACAGAGCCGGTTGAGCTCAGCAAGGCGTCTTTCAGCTGAACTTTGTCCGTTGAGTTGCCGCCAACCACCGTGGTGCGAATAATCTGAGGAAGCATACACTATAAATTACTAACAAACTCATAGCCCTGAAGAAGGCCCTATCATGTATTTCTATTAACATGATGTCAACATCATGTGTTGAAGCCTGCAGCATAAAATAAAGTTGATGACGCAACATATAAAATTTACTTTGCTCTTAGCAAAGACTATCTTCATTTCCATGCTCGACACTTTCGAAGATGTCTAAATTTCTAAAAACTTAAACGAAAAAGGGTTAGATAATGAATTAAAAATAAAGACAATGTGATTATTAAAATGTTATAAAATGTTTTGAACATGAAAAATTCGACTTAATATAATGAGTTTACTGTGTGAATTTTGAAGTCGGGTTGTGTATTAAAATATTATATATGAAAATATATGCCAGTTTTTCAAAATAAATGTAATATATTTATTTTGAATTTTTAATGGATTGAGAGAACGCGGCCCATGAAATCACTGCAAAGCGAAATGCGGAAACATATAGAACTCAGTTCCAACATAAATCATCACCGTTCGTCGGGAGATTAAAAAGATTTTATTCCACAGTGTATTTTCAAGTGGAAACTATCTGTCGAATACAGATGTTTCAAAGCGACTGAAGTGCTATTGTTACCATGTGAATTTTCCACTGAAACGGTGGTATAGCGTATGTTAGGAGAGAACCCTAAGAATTATTTAATCTAGACTGCTTTTGTCATCGTTTCTAGATATACCCCAGTGAGATTTACAGGAGGAACAGGTTCAAACTTATTTCGAGACAAACCACAATTTTCATTGATCAATTCTTCAGAAATTTGACGCTTTAATCAATTGCTAGGGGAGGGCACACCCAATTTAAAAAACTTAATAACTGGCTAATGAATTAAAAATAATTTAATAACTGTTCATTTCGGAAAGTTTTCAGAACTTAGTAAGATTGAAAATTTTCATATGAAAACAAAACCAGAAGATATGTTACTTACCGAACCAACGGATGCCCGGAAACCAAGATAAGTTCCTTTCGACACTTTTATGTTTAAGCTTGGGAAGTAATATTCAGTTGTAGTCGCCTTCGTTATGGACGACAGCGTCAAGGGAGTATAGCGTGCGATGGTTGCTGATGAAGAAGAAGGTTAAGGATAATTTTCACTACCGTTGATCGAGAACGATCGTAAACGCGTCGCATGCTACAGGCAGGCTTAAAATTATAGCTTGTACAAAAATTCCGGCAGAAGTTTTTCATTCGATTTATGCCTTTTTAATGCACGATTCGATTACGTCATTCAGGAAGTTTGATGAGCATTCACTATAGAAGTGCATAGTGAGCTTTCCAAGTATCTGTCTTGAGAACATAGAGGTGCATATCGTTTTGTTCATAAACTTCATCTCGAAATGATTTGCTATGCAAATCATTTCAAGAAGCTTTGCAACCTTACAGTACGATTGAGCCAGGCTGTATTTTTACATTTTTAGCGCATTTTCTCATTTATGGAAAAAATGCACTATTGTGCTCGCTATGTCCGTCGTCTGTCTGTCTGTCCGTCCGTCTATCCGTCCGTCCGTGACCTCAAGTCTTCGTCGACGAGACGAAAGTTTTAGTTTAGTTTTATTTTAGTTTAGTTTTTAGTTTAGTTTTTTGTGCATTTCCTCATTTATGGAAAAAAATGCACTATTGTGCTCGCCATGTCCGTCTGTCTGTCTGTCCGTCCGTGACTTCATGTTTTCGTCGACGAGAAAATGCGCTCTCTGTCACTCACTGCAGTGTGTACCGAGTTATATTTTTTATCCTAGTCTTCCTCTAACTTATACTCACATTAGTTCATCACACAAGATCTGGGCATCACATTGTTCTGTAAGAACAGACCCGCGCCTGAAATTATTCTGTAATGATATAACAGCAACTCACATTGTACAGTACAGGAAGGTGAGCAGTCAGAGGTGTAGGAGCAGGTCGAATTGCAAGTTGCATTACAAGCAGTACGGCACTGACCGAAGCAGAAGGTTCCCGTTGTACAAACCGGGGTCAATTGCTGCAGGATATATCAAGTTTCAATGAAATTTTTTTGCGATAGAACATCGATTTGGTATAATTTGAAACTTTTCACAAGCTAAAACTAACGTATACATTGTAATTATTGTTGAAAATAAGGTTAAATACTCTTATGCTGCTCGAAAATAAAATTAGATCGTCTCAGAACTTCAAAAAGCCATTTATCATTCAATAGCAACTATCAGAACCCTGCTGTGCCGGGGATAGATTTAAATGCGTACAATTTCTCTCCTATATGATCCCGGGAGGTTTACCAGATACCGAGTGGTATCAGTGATACATGGTGGCAACATATAGGATGCTGTCTCCATCTAAGCGCTCAGTGTCCAGGATATCCAGTGAATATAACCGGAGCAATATTGAATCTATAGTGAGACAGAGGGGATATAGTGGAGCACAAGTGGAGCTATAGTGAAGAAAAAGTTTGGTTTTAGTGAAACTACAGTTAATTAAAGAGGAAGGTAGAGTGAAAGCCAAGTAAAGCCAGAAATGGAAAATTAAGTTAAAAATTGTCCGAGTGACTAGCAAATGTATAGCGCAAAAGGAAGAAATCAAATTAAAGATGAGTGGATCCAAAATAAAGCTGGAGTGAAGTCAAATTGACAGCAAATTTCGCGGTATTGAAAATATACGGTGAGAGTGGAGATTTATCGTTCAGTGGAGCTTTCAACATACAAATGCACAAACAATAATTCTTCACAGAAATATTTTCAGTCCACTGCACTGAAAATAGAAGAACGTTGAATTCTTCATTTTCCCTGATACGAGGTTAAAATATAAAAAATTTTATCCTCATTAAAAAATATATAATTTCCGGACTCCAATATAAATTTGCGTATCTTTCCTATTTCCTAGCGACATTAAACTGTGCTACAATTTTCGTATTTCATGGCATATTTGTCCACGTTTTACTAAGCAAATTAAGTTACTCATCGGAGGAAAACAAATTATTTTTGCTTTTCCATGTGCGATCATCTGCACTAAGATATACGTATTTTATACTTTCATTTTTTCATTCTTTCATGGTTTGTGTTGAAATTAATTTTTTTAAATACATATTTTTCCCCTATTGTTATCTAGTCTCTAGCCTAGTTTCGCTGCCGTGCACCGCTCTTATTAATAATGGATGCTCCCAAGTCCATTGATCAGCTCATAATTAAGTGAATTCAGTACAACGCTCTTAGTTTGAAATAGATCATGGTTAGGATATAATTGTATAACTATGCCAAAAATGCTTCATATGATAAAACAACGTTTCCTAATTTATATTTTATGCACTGTATTGCAATAGCCTAACTTTAGGGCATTGCCAAAATGTCCCAAATGATTTAATTGTACGTTTCAAGTATTAAAAGTATACCAAGCAAAGAGTTTCGCTTATTAAATACTCATAAGCTCGAAAACATCACTTGATTGGAAAAAATAAAAAAGGTGAATGTGTAATTTAAATTTGCAATACATTGCATGAATTCCTATCGACAAAGAAAACTGAAGAGTTGATTGGCAGTTATCTAGAAACCCCCGTTATGAAATAATATTTTGGGATGATATAACAATTAATTTATTTTCAAGATTGATTTTCCTCGCCATTTTATACATTGATGTTCAAATTCAGCCTTTAATTATAAAATCAATAAAATCGATAAGATCTTGATAAAGACTACTTAATTTAAAGCAGCATAATACAGGGTGCGGCGTGGGAACTTACTCTTTTAAAAAAATCACAAAGTAAAAAGTATTAAAGATAGCGTTTTAATTCTTTCTTTTTTACAAAGAGCTACATTTAAAGTTTCGTTGGGTTTACTTACAAGTTTAATTCTTGAATATTACATAGCATGGCGCCACCTTCCTAGGACTAATGGCCGCCACGTGGCGCGCAATTCAAATAAGTAAGTTCCCGCGCCGCACCCTGTATATCGTGGCATTAATATAAAATTTATTAAAGAAATATTTCTCAATACTTGTAATTTTCAGATTTGGCAGTATTTTTGTTCACATTCTAAGACTATCATGTATTGCTTACTGTACCGCCTGCCGTGCGTACAGAAAGTACCAATCAGATCCAAAAAATTACGCAACAGGGCCCATACTTTCAAAAAAAGTCAAGAGACCGTAAGTTCATCAGCCAATCATTGACGGCCTTTCAAGCCAAATCCACCAATCATAGACAAGAAATAGAGCGTATAAGTACTTATGTCCACGTAGCGAGTTTTGAAAGTATGGCCCCTAAACACTTAATTGCAGGTATCGTATTCTTAAGTCTAATAATATTACTTACCATAATTTCAATTGAATATCCAAGATTTGCTCCGACACGAACTCTCTTGATGAATCCTGTACGTCTGACCAAACTGTTCCTGAGCAGCACGATGTCCTTGCCGTTGTAGGTTAGGTTTGTGTAGCCCGTAGAGTTTTGTGGGTGTACGGTCCATCCGTACATGTCCATCACAGCATCTGAGTCGTGGCAACGGGCAGTTAGAAAACGCAAAAATATTAGCATTTCGCAAAAATATACCTATGTGAGCCAAAAATGTATTAATCAAATGTGCAATTAGATAAACATTTGATTAACGAAGATTTCAACTTATCATCAGTCCCTCAAAATCATAAGTTATGCGAGTTGAATATTTTGCAAGGTTTATTCGTGGAAATGACTATAGGTCGAGTAAAACTTGACAACATGCATAGCGTCATGAACTTTTTCATATAATTACATTACTGCCAATTTAGCAATTCATTTATGTTCAACTTGAGATATTTTGCGCATCAATGATCATATTTATCATCAGTCTTTCAAATTTTTAATTCAGTGTTCTGGAGTACAGCTGTATCACTCCTCGGCCATTGTGATGTTACGGGCAAAAAAAAAAAACGGAAGAAATGGCATGAGTCCATGTAATTCTTCAGCCAGAGTAAAAATGCAAGGATCGCTCGGGTTTCTGACCAGGTTTTATTGTGCCCGATAAAAAATTATGCAATATATGTTATATCAAAATTACAATTTTATGATTCCTATAAAAAGAAAATAATTTTTTTATATAGCGTCACCCTTGTAGTCAAGATTATTAAAAATTTTGAAGGTTTCAGCACCTAAAAAGCCTAACAAACGCTGTGTATTTTTCACAATAAATTTCATATATTATTTCAATACGAATCATCACCATTAATTATGCGTAAGGGAATGCCTTTCAGAATTCGTTTCAACGATTACAGTGCAAATAAATAGAGAAGGCTCATGATAAGCATGGAATATAGCTTCACAAGTTTTCACCTGGTACAGTTCCAGCAAAAGTTTGCTCCTTTCACAAGTTTTCACCTGGTACAGTTCCGGCAAAAGTTTGCTCCTGGTACGGAGATTTTATTGTGGCCGAGAAAGTGTAGTTATATCCTTGAAGAAGAGTGACATTGCATCCTGTAGCCACACCGACTTCCAGAGCTGCGGGGCACTGCATCGAGAACGGCATAATTGCGTCCACGACGACCACCTCTTTTGAAGTCGCCGAGACTGCGTCGGTGTCGTGCAGGCGAGCTTAGCAGATAGACAATTCAATTAGCAAACGAGCTAGAAGATATGTATATTCGTTCTTCATTAATTTAAGGTATGCTATTAAACTCTCGCGACCGTGGGATAGAGGGATAGGTTTACCTAATTAATGTACTGTGTGATAGAAGTTTGTGTGATACCGCACCATGCCTCAAAATTAGACAATAGTTGAATTTCATTCATTTTAGACAAATTTATTTATGACATGAGTAGGATTTGTTCTAGAAAAACTCTTCTGAGAAGTCCAGTGGCGGACCATTATTATGGTTTAAATTATCACTATATTTTATTAAAAAATTTTTATTGTGAGTAAAATAATTAGCCATAAAATTTCATTAAAAGAGAAATTACTCTATCAAAATATGAGCCAAAAAAAATTTAACGGCGGAAGAGGCGTTCACGAGACGCGCAAGACCATCATGTATAAAGACTAATTTCCTAAATCAATGATCAAAAATGCAATTTACAGTAGCTTTAAACATTTCAAATCATCATTAAAAAGGAAAAAATTTCACAGAGAATTGAGTCATTCCGTCCAATTTAACAAACAACTTATAACATAAAATAATAATAAGAAAACAAAGGTACTTTATACGATAATATCAAAGGTTTACCTAAATCGCGAGTTAACCGAGAACTTAAAGCACGAAAAACGCTTAGTAAATTCATTGCATTTTCATTGAAAACGTTTCGGTGCCTTAACATCACCAAAAGTTCTCATCCCTCCTGAATTTGTTAACCGATATGTTTTTTATGTTCCTTGTCCCGTTTATTCGGTACTTCGGTTTTAATTTCGTCTGCTTAAATAAAACTTTCCATATTAATTATATATGCATTATCAAAAATTTTTGTTGACCTGCTGATGCAGCTGGTCTCTTGAACCATTTCGATGAAGATACAGTGCTTGATTTTAATGTGTGCTTTCGTTACCTTCATATTCTATGCATATTTGGCACTCATTCATTTCATCTCCCATAGTTGAAAGGATTGATCAGAGGTATTTTTTTTTATAATTCGCAGATAAAGTCTGATAAGGTGATCGTTAATAGCACTGTGAATAGATGAATCATTTTTTTATTCAATTCACCTGTAATATTGAAGCGTCCGGCCATGTCGTAGACGTGTTAATAATTTTTTTTTCATTAAATTCACCTGTAATATTGAAGCGTCCGGCCATGTCGTAGACGTGTTAATAATTTTTTTTTATTCAATTTACCTGTAACATTGAAGCGTCCGGCCATGTCGTAGACGTGTTAATAATTTTTTTTCATTAAATTCACCTGTAATATTGAAGCGTCCGGCCATGTCATAGACGTGTTGCTGGAAGCCGAGGAGCGAAATAGCACCGTCTCCCCAGTCCGTGTAGAAGCGACCTGAACTGTTCACCGTGACGCCCACAGTCTGCGAGGTTAAATGGTCGTCACGTACATGAGGTACGACAGTAAATTTATTTCTAAACCACGTCTTTGAATTGTATGGACGAAGAACACTTGACATTTTGAACCAACTTGGGGAGTGACGTGTGACGTGGACTTTAGCTGCTACGTACCGACTTTTGGTTAGCAAGAAAATAACACAACTATAGAAGGCAGTTCATTTCGGGATTAGGCAGAAGTTTGCGAAGTCAATTTGAAATAATAGTGCACTGATCCATCGGCACTTTTTTTATTGTTTTTTTTTTACCAATCCAATGTCCCCAAATCAAGAAGCGGACGATCAAGGTTAAAAAAATAAATAAGTCAAAATTGAAAAATAAATAAAATTAAAGACTAGGTTGTCACAATTATAAGGGTTTAGCTCAGAGGTATCTAAATGATGTATGGAAGAGAGTATAACATATGTGGGTTGCAGAGACATGACAAATGTTGGCAAGTGAGACGTGACAAAAATGGCGAAGAATGTTTAAAAATTCATGTCATTGTTTGAACGCGGCCATAAATGCTGCGCAGCTGATTGCTTAATTAAGAACTTGATGTATTTCAGTCAAGAGAGAGAGGACGATTTTTTTTTAATCTATCTATCTTTCCCCTTCAAAAAAATCTCGCTGTAATTTGATTTTCGTTTTTTATCCAAGCGATGTGGCCGAAATAACAGTTTTATTTTCACTTCTTGGTCCTGGTGTTTTATGATGTTATTAATTTCCATTTATGGGCAGGGTACCCAGTGGTTACAGTTCAGCTCTAAGTGAACGTAAGTACTTACGTTCTATTTTCTTGTCTGTGATTGGTGGTATTTGCTTGGAAGGCCGTCAACTATTGGCTGATGAAATTACGATCTCTTAACTTTTTTGAAAGTATGGCCTCAGAGTACCAAGATAGGAGCAGTGAATTTGTGTCCGATTCCAGCTACCTGCGATGGTTCTGGTTGTAAGCGCGACTGCTATGCCTGCCGCTATTACTTCAGCGCCGACCAGACAAACGAAATTTTATCCGTGCAGAGAAGTGAACTTTGTTTTTTGACGATTTATTGGTAACAAAGACACAGTAAAACGTGGCAAAGAGAACAGTGAAAATATACTCAAAATGAATCCAAAGTGAACGCAAGATAAACCCAAAGTGAACCTAAAGTGAACCCAGCGGATGGCTAGTACTGAATCAGAATGAAAGTGACGCGCTTCGGATGATCAAGGTGAAAATACTTTTTCTCTAAATGAAAATGCTAGTAAAAATCGAAAGACAAAAAAAACATTAATGGAAAAATAGGTACAAATTTAACAGAACAAATATAAGAAAAGAAATAACTGTTGAATGATCGCAAGAAATTACAATAAAAATCGCGGTACAAAAATTAGAGACGCGCGTGGCGCGGCTACATGGTTAAGTCGACGATTAGGCCGGGCGGCTAGCTAAACGCAGCAAAATTGGAGCAGTGAGTTGCGTGTCCGAGGCTGCAACAAACTGCGAATATTCTGCGATGTTAGGAATTGGCGACAGGTCTAACGGTTTGATCAACGCTAATACCGTTAAACCACTATGCTATACTATCTTATCAAACTTTTTACCTCTGTATTTGTTGAATAAAGTTGAGATATAATTTAACAAAATTATTGCTGGCGCTTATAGGACAAGAGGAGCGTAAACGTTTCACCTCTGCCAAAGTAGAGATTTAACAAAAATGTTGAGAACCAGTGGCTCAACATTTAGATCCGTAGAAAAATAAGTTCGGCGAAGTCTGAGAGCCCAGTGTTCGGGACTACGACGTGAAATTTATGTGCACTTTTCATATCGAGAAGTTGCTCCTCTCGAGCGTGTAGTCCTTAATTGAAAGGTCACATCTGAGTCAGCACGGATTTTCGGGCAACGGGAGGTTATCAGGACGCCACAAAAAGGCCAGCGGATAAAAGCTAACCAATTAGCTCAGACTTACGCTGGCCACCTCATATTACTAACCGCTGGGCAGCTGGGCCTATACCTTCAAAAAAAGTTAAAAGATCGTAAGTTCATCAGCCAATCATTCATTGTGACGGCCTTTCAAGTAAAATCCACCAATCATAGACAAGAAAATAGAGCGTAAGTACTTACGTTCACTTAGCGAGTTTTGAAAGCCAGAGTGCTCATATGCGGTGACAGCTGAGTAATTTACGACGCCTGCATCCCCTCGTTCTTTGAACGTCTTCATGGGAACTATTAGTATTCGGTATTTTCACTCCATAAGTGAGCATGCTCATTCTTAACAAGATTTAGGTGACATTAATCTACTACAAGAAAGCAGGTCGAGATATGCCAGGCATATCGCTCAGTGGAGAATAAACAGTAAAATTAATAGACACCGCCAGAAAATTGCACACTTTTCATACTTCGTAAACATTAAAGGGCAAGATTTTTATTCATCATAACTTTTCAGTACAAAGTTCACATATTTTTATTTGCTGTCCACAGATTGCAAATAAATAGTTTGATAAGCATGAAAAAATTCATATTATTATCTCATTTACGAGTGGAATAAAGGAGAACCTACCTAGTGAAGAAATCCCATAGGAATTAGCGAAATCACTCTGTAAAAATGGCTGACCTACTTCATACTCAAGTTGAAGGATCTCTTTGTTTGCCAAAAAGGTTTTACCAATGAAATGACGTACCCAGAAAGAAAGAATGGTGAAATTCTATATAATATATCAATGCTGTTGGGGACTAATCAATAAATAGGCTTTCTTTGACCCCAGACCTTTGACCAGTGACCGTAAATAAAGGATGAATAAAAATTATAAATAAAGAACTATCATAATAAATAAACGATAAATACAAGAAAACGAAATATAAAACTATAAACCGTGTGTCTTGCTAGCCTTTCACTTTCAACTCGTAAGAATGTCCTAAGTTCAAAGCCCCGCTGAAAAAGCACGAATAAATACAAATTAAGGGCTTTAATTAAGCACACGTAAATAGAAAACTAACATAAATAACAATATTCAATATCACCAGAAAGGACACCACTAAATCAACACTGAAGATAAACACGATAAGCAATGCAAGTACTAACCTCTGTGGTGGATCACATAACAATGACAAGTTACAGGGCGGGTCTGCACGAGGTCACGTAATAGTAACTCAAAAACAAGATGACAATACAAGTAACGTAACTATCGATGAAATTATTACATTGAAAGGCGTTCCCTAACAATGTTAAAGGGAAAATACGACCACGCCGTCATTGCTAGCTAAATATCCCCAACATCGCTATGATTGCAGCCGTAACTGCAAACACACCGCCATTCTTGCCGTCATCAAGCTAGGGCTAGGTGCCGCTGTACTGCCGTACGTGGCTTTAAGCTGGCAGCACTTGCAAGCCTCAAACATTTCACAGCCGGACTGCTGGCACTCCCGTTCTTGCACGCGACCGTCACTAGCCGGCGCAACTTACCGCCGGCAGAGGAGTGGCATACTATAGCTCAGATCGATGCATGGTTACTGTACTGTTGCCCTCGCTGCCGATATATTCGAGACACCTTCAGGTAGAGCCGTCAACTCAACGCCAACAACGCGGCCTTAAGAACGGCCCAAACGCGGCTTTTCTGGCTCTAAAGCGGTGCTGCTGCGACGGCAACGCGATCGAAATTGGCAGACGGCCGAAGGCAATACCGGTGTGAATTTTTAGCAGGGTTAAAACAGCATTATTTTTCGATTTTTGAGCAGTGTGTTTTATGATGATGATGGAATAAATTACAGTTAGGTTATATGAAATGGAAAGAATGCAGTTGCCAGTGTTTGACCGTGCAAGCTTAATCATTTTGTTATATTTCCGGTGCTTCTTCCCATAAGGAAAGAAAGATTGAAAACATACCCGTTCGTTTCATTCAAGTTTTCCACATTTTCTTCTGACCTTTTTCAAAGAAAAGTTAATACAACGCTTTAAGTGGTTCAGGGATAAATATTAGATAGAACTGAATGAGAACCAAGGAACCACCTAAAATATACGTCTCGGACAAAAACGCGGCCTCTCTCACGGCCGGTCTCGCGGCCGTGATTCCAAATTCAGTGAGCGTGGAATATCTCGCAAAATACTGAACGTAGCTTGATGAAACTTGGTACACAAGTTTCATCAAGCTACGTTCAGTATTTTGCGAGATATTCCACGCTCACTGAATTTGGAATCACGGCCGCGAGACCGGCCGTGAGAGAGGCCGCGTTTTTGAAATATTTCGAGTGCCATTAACAATAGTATTTTTCTGGTATTAGCTGAACATACCGAGAAAAGTTTGATGAAGGTGGCGTTGGGGGAAGATATGGTGATGGTTGAGGGCAAAGGTTGAGGATCTTGTAGCAGAGCACTGATGCCGACGCCAACCTTCCCCCCACAAGCGTTCCCACCGGCGCAGGAGACGTTGCATGTTCCCGCTGTACTTAGTCCACCTAGCGCTGACATCAAAACGATCAAAGTTTAGTTAGTTTAGTGACCCTATGATTACTAGCGCTTCAGCTGCTAAGCTATCTCGCGCCGAAAACAATCAAAGGCCAGCATGATATTTTCATAGCATAAATTGTACAGTATACTTGCTAAAAAAGTATTTCAAATCATAATTTTTCATCTCACTCTGGAACAGGAATTTAAATATCTACGCGCTCATATAATGAACAGTGCTCGAATTTTCAATTGCAGAAATTTAAATCAAATCACGGCGTTGAAGCGTAACTGGCACACGGTTTACAATCTACCCATGAAGCTGAAGGCCTACTGTTCAGATCAATTATTGACAGCAATTTGCTAAATACTGGTGCATTTTTGATGCTTGTAGTACAACAAGATGTCTTTTGGAGTTAGAATAATTTTGATGAAAAAAAGAAAATAATAAGTCATCTTTTGTCGGCTCTGAAAAAAATTGTATGAAAAAAATTAGACTTTCTTATTGCACGGAAAAATACAAAGAAAATATAAAATTGTATTCTAATCTAATCAAAGAGACCCGACAGTTCTTACCAGTTTGGTTGTAAGCACAAAAGCAGTACTGCGCTTGCTCTATACCCGACACTGCAAGACCTTGCTTCTGACACTGGACATTGCAAGTATCGAGACTCTGGTACTTGCTGTCGTTGTAGCCTCCCACTGAATAGAACTTCGGTTTCGAAATGTCATCCTTCAGACATTGCAGATTCGCTGAAAAATTTAACAGATGAGGATCCAATTCGTGAGAGATTTTTTGATAAGTTGTAAGTCGCGATTGTATTTATCGTCATTGTGGCATGGTTTTCTCATAAAATGAGATCATATTACAGTTGAACAATAAAATCATTCACGAAGCCCCATCATGTTTTACATCAAATTACTGTTTATTTAGGTTTGCATTAAACTATAGATAGTCCAGATTGACACTGGATTGAATTTGCCATGTTTAATGTTTTTACCACGACATGGTTAATTTTTTAGAGGAAAATATCACATTGTGAATCGATTTTGCGCTGGAACCTATAGTAAGAGAAGACGAATATGTGAATAAATCAACGAACAGACGATTTCTTCATACTCACACAAAGCCGATACACGGCAAGATGTAAACAGAGTTGAAATGACTGCGATTGTTATAAAAAGGCACTTCTTGCAGCCATGGCAACTATTGCAACGAAACTCGAAGTTTGGAATGCACGTTTCTTCATCTTGGCCGCCGTTTCGTCGATCGTTAGCCAGGTGGCAGCGGCCTTGGGGCCGGTTACTATGACGAATTTTTCTCATCACCAAGTTTCAAGTTTACGTCTAGAAATCTGTAGGAATCAAAATGGGAGGTTGGTTAAAATCCATGATCATGGAGGAAGAAAGTTTCAAGAAATCGAAAATTTATGGTAGAACATTGCAAATTGTACATTATATGTACAAACCACATTAGCTTATGAATGCTATTCTCAACAACAAACGGAACTGAATAGGCAAAGATTTGCCTCAAAATTGATAAAATTTGATTTGATATTTTAGTAATAATTCGTTGTTTCTAGAAGTGAATTTTGTCGTTGAATTTGAGAAATAATATAAATAAATATAAATTCGAAATTCAAGCTTTGAATATGCAGCGCAGCATGGCATTAATGAAATAATATCTCCTGAATGGGTTGAGGACCCGGAGAATTGGCTACACTAAAAGATTAATGCATGGGATAGACATGATTTTTATGAAAATTACCGTTTGATTAGAAACTATTATTAATATTGTTGTGAAATTAATTGACGTCAGTGCATAGCAACAATTTTATTAATTTTGTTACATTATAGATTGACAACACTTTAATTCTTTAGAATGATAAGACCGTCTATTTATTTCACAGTCATGAACTGAATCCGTGAATTGGCTAAAAAGATTTCCCAGAGATTATTGCAGCTGCATCAAAAAATGTGCTATTTAATTCTACAAATTATGTTCCATCTAACTCAAAAATAAAAATCAGTAATTTCCTACACAGACAATTTGTAGAGACGATCAATATAAAGGAAAACTCTCTTCTTCCTATACCAGCGATGTTCAAAATCCGTTTAATATTTCTTGAAAATCCCTGTTTTTCGAAACAACGACAATAAATATACCTGAACCTTTCATATTCTTAATTCCTTGTAGGGAAATTCTGTATATGCCTTACCTGCTCACTATCATTCAAAATGAAGCAAATCGAGAAAATAACACGAAATTTATCTTCTCCGGCTGAAAAAATATCGGACCCCACGGAGGTACTATGGAGCTTCCAAGCCGAATCCGGTTCGGCGACAGACTGACCTGCCTCAAATCAGATTGATATATTTAATATCACACGTGGAATTTTATCAACCAATCAGCAGGCGAGCTTCAACATTCGTAGTTGATGTCGTCTCGGTAACGAGCAAACAAACACCGTGTCGCTGTCCGTGGTGACTGGCCAAGGGGAGGCGCTCATAGAAAATATACTTCTACCGATTCGTTAATTTTTATGTCTGTAAGTTCATGATAACTAAATTTTTAGTACAATTTCGAATCAAAATCGTGAATACAATCAAATTTGAGTGAACCAAGGATCTTGGAATAACATGTGTCATGAAAATAAAGTCTAAGCAAGTCTACTATAACTGCTATCGACCTGGTCTTCGGTGGGTGCGTGGCGTGATGTGTAGTACTGCATTTTCTCAGACATCGTCATCCTCAAGCTGGGTATTAGAAAATGGCTACATGAAAATGAAATACATAACTTAAGAACACAAAGCCTTACAAAATTGAAAGTTTCTCCTGTAATAACTATTTTTCAGAGGAAATGAGTTTGCCTCTTCCTAACTCCCTTTTCTAATTCGAAGTACGCCCCCGATATTTTGGAAATACAGAATCTAATCTTTCAACCCAGAACCGTTCAACGAAGTGTAAACATAGGACAGACGAGAAATATGCCGTTCAAATCAAAGACATTTCATCAAAATTTTACAAAAGAACAACAGATTTGTTCCCTTGGGCGCCCATCAAAATGCTCGTCAGTAATTGTTCAGAAGATTACTCACAAACATTTTGATCAAACTCAACTCGTCTAGGAACAAATAGTAAAATTTTCTTTGGCTATCGTTTCACACAAAATCTTCGAACTATGTTAAGAGTCTCTCAGAAATGAGTTAAGATAATGATCTCGAAGGCGTTGAAATGGACTCAACTTGTCTAGGAACAAATAGTAGAATTTTCTTTGGTTATCGTTTCACACAAAATCTTCGAGCTATGTTTGAGTCTCTCAGAAATGAGTTAAGATAATGATCTCCAAGACGTTTAAATGGCAGCAGATGAAACACGTGTGTTTTGTTTGCGTGAGTACAGCATTTCTGGTCTCGTATGGACAGTCGTATTCGACGATGCAGTAGCAATAAATTTCTAAGTACACATGATCACGCTATCATGAACTTCGTGAATTAATCGAGGCAGTGTCCAGTAGTTAGCGTAGCTGAACTGAGCGTAATTGAGATTGGGAATAAATCTTAGTCAAGTATAGATTGCTAAGATTTTAAATTACATACTGAAAATGTTCATTCATCCGTGAAAGAATTTCTTTATTCTTGGATTTCCATAGGTTTCTCACAATATACATCATTTTTTCCTGTAATTTACAAATCTGGTTTATCTTATTAGCATTAATACTCTGATAATTTGCTTCTATACATAGAATCAATCTCGCAGTTTGATTTTTGTCGGCTTATCAAAGTTTTTTAGTATCCATATCTAAAGTATTTACTCAAGATTGGATGCGCACGCGTGTTCATTTACTTTCTGTATTAAGTTGCGAACTCAAAGCTGAGAGATTCGGCATTTTTAGTATAGGATTTTATACCCCACATTCATCTTTGTCTCTCACTAAAGTCGAACTCTAAAAGCTGTAATAAAGTACAACTTTGACAGCTAAGCCACTTGCAGCGCTGTGAAGTTTGATTAGTTCATTTTTAGGGACGAATTGAACGTGCGATGTTTGAATTAATCCTGTATAATCATGCTGCTGAACGTGTATATCGGCTCGCGTCGTTCTTAGTGTTCACTTCGTCCCACATGAAGAACTTTCATAGCTGTTAATCGAAAAAAGTTTCGGTCAGCATGCTAGAACTTGATCATGTTGTGAGTTGGATTTAGTCATTGGCTTCACTTGGTGAAATTGGTCGACACAGCACGTGCTTTTTCTAGCGCAGTCATTTCAATCGACCTTCTGTTGAAGACATTGAAAGTTGGACCAAAAGTATCGGAATATTAACAACCAAGTAAGGTTGTCATCAATTTTAACTAAATGTACGTTTAGGGATCATACCGAGTATAATATCGATCAGGCTCCAGCAAAGCGTGCATGAGGTGGAACCCACTTCTGGGACAGAGATGGGAACCCCCTTCTGGGACAGAAATGGGAACCTACTTCTGGGACAGAGATGGGAACCCACTTCTGGGACAGAGATGGAACCCCCTTCTGGGACAGAGATGAGAACCCCCTTCTGGGACAGAAATGGGAACCCACTTCTGGGACAGAGATGGAACCCCCTTCTGGGACAGAGATGAGAACCTTCTTCTGGGACAGAGATGGGAACCCACTTCTGGGACAGAGAGAGGAACCCACTTCTGGGATAGATATGGGAACCCCCTTCTGGGACAGAGATGGGAACCAAATGGGAACCCACTTCTGGGACAGAGGAAGCGTGATATGCAATTTGGTAATAATGTGGTGCAAGACAAAAAATAAAGTATAATTTATAATCACCTATATAGAAGGAAGCGTGCATCACATGCACGGAAGAAGAACATTAACTCACGTATTTAGCGGATCTCATTCAATCGTTTATAACACCCAGTTTTCATAGGCTTCTTTATAGAGCTCATGAAAAAGAAAATCATTTTACTTTCACTCGCCGTTGTTAGGGTCATCCAAATACTACCACCTCTGCACTGCACATACACACATACTCAT